TGATTTCCCTTTGTTTCCATCTTGAATTTGTAAGACCCATCCCTATGGAGGGCTAAACTTTCTTGTAATCCTTAGTGAGTTCATGGATTCTTGAATCCTTGGGTATGAATGTCAATATAATCCCCTTTTCTTCATGAATTTACATTTTCCAACTCTTTGAATTGAATTAATAGTTGAATAAGGGGGATATTGCTTAATTAACCCTAATTCATTTTAATGAAATTCTTAATTTAGTTTGCTTAATCCTAAGTTAATTTCTAAGGTTGCGTAATCTTGGAGATGAGAGATTGGAGCCCATGTAAATTGCTTAATTTGTATAGGATATTAAGGTTAATTCTTGCTTTTTGAATTACCCTAATTCAGAGGAAGAGGAAAAGTATTGAATCTTGATAGGGATAGGGATAGAATTACATGAACAAACTAAGGATTGCATATTTCATTGATTGGATTCATTAATTTCATCACTTGCCTTTACATTAAAATTGAAATTACACAAAACCTCCTTGTTTTAATTGCTTTTATAGTAAATGTTCACAACATGTTCAATGTATGTTACAAACCAAAGTCGTTGTAGACAATCTAGGCTTGCACCCTAGATACTACAGACTTTTTCTGCATATTTTGATGAAGGTTGACGACAAATCTTTTTGTAAAACGAAATGAAAATATTTCGTTCATCAAAGTTCAATCAATAGAATATAGTAACTTGTAGTTTATCCATATAAATTCTATTCCCATTCATCTTAAGATTTAACACACTTCCTCTTTTTTTGAATTAGGTTAATTTAACAAGCGAAAATCAACCTTAAATTCTCATACGAAATTAAGCAATTCAATGGGCTCCAATCTCTCATCCCAAGATTAAGCAACCTTAGAAATAAACTTAGAATTAAGCAAATTAAGTTGAATTAGGGTTAATCAAGCAATGCCCCCTCATTCAACCTTTAATTCAATTCAAGAGATTGAGAGAAGAAAAATTCATGAAAAAGGGATTTGTATTAACATTAAAAACCCAAAAATTCAAGAATCTATATGAACTCACTAGGGATTACAAGAAGTTTAGCCCTCCATGAGGATGAGTCTCACTATTACAAGATGAAAATAAAGGGAAATCAATAACATCAAGATGAAAAATCAAAGAAAAGTGACGAAAAAATGGAATTCAAACCCTAGGTTGGACCTTTGGCTGTCACCCAAGGCCGACCTAGGCTCTCCAAAAGTATCCTAAAACCCTAAAATATCTAAAGTAAAAGATTCTGTAAAAAATCTCCAAATGGTAAAAATCTATTTATAGTAAACTTGACGTCCTTCATAGTAATTACTATAATGAATGATAGTAATTACTATCAGTGCTGTCTTGACTGGAGTAACTACTATCGTTCATAATAATAGCTACGTGCAACTTCCAGAATTTTCCTTCCTCTCTGTAGTAACTACTATTGCAAATGAAAGTAGCTACGCGCGTTATAGTAAATGATAGTAACCACACGCAAGTTTGCAGCTTTCTGGGGTTCTGTAGTGATTACTATTGCTTCTAAAAGTAGTTACTTTGGCCTATCTCTTGGGATTGGCTTGCTGTAGTGATTACTATAGTGTCTGAAAGTAGTTACTTTCACCTCATATTTTCCAAATGGCCAAAAATCCATAGAATTTTGTTTGGAATTTTCTGCACAATTATTCAAATGAGTAAAATTGCAAGAAATATTTACAAAAATCAGCATCAATTAAGAAAGCTATAATATTTGACCTAAATGAGATTTTTATACTATTTACACTTTCTAAGCCTATTTTTCTATTAAAAATCTACAAAAAGATAAACAAAATATCTATAAAATGTGGGTTCATCACAACCCCAAACTTAAACTTTTGCTTGTCCTTAAGAAAATCAAAACTCAAGAAAATTTGCATGTATAAAAGGTTGGATTTATACAAAAAATTTTCTCAAAAATTTTCATTCCAATCTTAGACTTTAATTGGTATTTCCAATATTTCCAAAATCATGGATTCATTCAACAAAGAAATCACACTCATATCAATTATTTTCATGCAAAGTCCCACTAGACTAAAACAAAAATCTAGCAAGGTTTCATGCAATCCACACAATGCAAAGAAATTATCTAGCTCACAGGATGGTGTTTCACTCTTCACTCATCATGTTTCAGGTGAAGTGTTTCTCCTTAATTCATGCATTTTGCCTCACCCTACCATATGTTTGCTCATATTCTCAATCTCCTTTGCTTAGATACAATGAATCACATATCCAGAGGACTTTGTGGGTCACAAATGGATTTAAGTCCAACTTTGATCAAGGATGGTCAAAAACTCAAGTGGGTTTTCAAGAGAAGGGAGTTTTTTTTTGAGTGAATGAACACAACAACTAGAATGAAATGCATTAAATGGTGCAGCTTGAGAGGTTCAAGCATTCTTTCACCATGTTTTTCATTATTTTGCCTTATGTGGGAATCCTTTTCAACTTATGGCCCTTACTATATACGTTTTTCATTCATTCATCAATTGTGATTTTATGGACTTTGACAATCATTCTCTTCTTCAAATTCAAGCCTTTTTTTTTTTTTGACATGTATATTTAACATGTATGATGTTCACCATCCTAAACTTAAGAGTTTGCTTGTCCTCAAGCAACTACAGTCATAATTAGCACCCCAAACTTAGTTTCTTGCATTCACTCTTGATACAACTCAAAACAAATACCTTTCTCAAAGTAGGAAAATTATTTTTGCAGACTAAGTTTGGCAAAAAAAGGAAATGTAAAACAATGGAAATTAGGTACAAGGGTGTTCTAGGATGGGTGGGTATGTGCGAAGAAGGCCTCAATTATCTATATGAAAAATTGCACAATGCATATTCAGTTAAGAAACAAGGCGAGTTCTAGAGGATAGATGCAAAAATACATGTAAAGTGCACACAGAAAAGAAATTTAAGGCCCAAATCTCTACCATGGTAACAAGTGATAATTACTTGGCAACATGTGAGTACAGTTCACCTTAGAAGAAAATATATTCAGTATGACAGGAATGGTAATTATTTACAAAATAGAAAATAGATCTGAGTTGAATGGAAAGTGCAATAAGAATATAAGATCAGAATTACAGAACTGAACAAAAATAAGAAAAATATTTTGTATTTTATATGTTAACTTTGCAGGAAAATTAGACTAAAAATATGTGAAACAGAGGCAAAGATATCATGGATCCACAATTTAGAGATCAAATTCATGCTCCTCTTGATGGAACTGAGGGCATTTTTTGCACAAAGACGTAAAGTGGATTCAGCACAGAGAAGAAGTATGGAAATTGAAATGATAAAGATATAAAAGCATGAAAGCGTCAAGAAATCGTTCAGAGGTAAAGTAGTAAAGTAAAAGTAAAAGAGGAAAATAAAGTTCAATAATTATAGGGAAATGATAGTTAATATATCCAAGGAAATGAAAGGAAAATAGCTGAAAAATAAATAACATAAAGGAAACTAAATCTAGATGAGGTCTTCATTTGAGTTGAAGGAAGAAAGACTATCAATTGCATCTTCTCCTTCTTCCTATTTTTCCTCCTCTATGGAGCTTAAAGGGAGGAAGGTGTTCCAGCAGTCCTGCCTCTTTGGTCCTTGGGGTGTTTCTAGGTGTATTCACCATTTTGCTAAAGGGAGAAAAGAAAATTGTGAGTTGAATGCGCAAGTTATATAAGTAAGCAGCCAAGGTGTGCAACACATGTGCAGAGAATTTTAGAAAAATTGATGCTGCAGAGTATGGAAGTGCAGGTGCAGCATAGTGCACAACAGTTATGTAGATACTGTAATGACAACTTCAAAATTATGTCCAAATTCATAGTGAAAATGCAATTCATAATGGTTACTGTAAAGAAGGGCATTGTCAAAGTAAACACTATGCTCAGTGATAGAGATTACTTTAAGGGTGCAGGCATGACAAATTTTATGCAGCAACATAGATACAGAAAACTTCAAGAATGCAAGTCACATGTTAGATTATGTGCAGATGACATCAGGCGTGTGTGACAACAAATATGTAGTGTTTGTATAAGAAAATGCAGTGTAGAGTAATCACGTTCATGAATGATAGTAATTACTATGGAATTTGAACCTATTATGGTACTTATGCAACAACAACTCAAATATAGGTGCAATCAATGCAGAGAAATGTAGTTGTCAACAAAAATGCAGGTCACAAGCAATGTTTATGCAACAATTTGCAGAAAAGTCATACAGAAGATGTGTAGTGCAGTCCAAAGTAGTTACTTCTGGTTTTCAAAACAAACACACATACACACACAAAGTGAACACTATTGGAAATGAAAATGACCACTTTTGATATGCAAAACTTTGACAAGGGTGTGTGTGGTCTATATGGTCAAGCCTACTTCTAGCAATATTAATGCAATTTTTCATGGCATGTTATGTGCAAAAAGGAAAAAGATAGCAGTAGTAAAGTTGTTCAACATTCAAAGTGTCACGACCCCTTTTATAAGGAACCGAGAACATTGTTTCTACACCATATACTTATTTAAAATAGGTAAATAATAGATAATATAAGTATAAAATTCACTTCTCATTCAAAGTAAAATAAAGTTCCTTACAACAAATATTCAACAGAACAACATAATATTACATTTAGTTCATAATATTCAAAATACTCAAAATTATACTATGTAACTCCCTCTACATGAGGTCTCAAAATATAAAGAAAAAGAGACTTTAATGCAAGATTACTCAACTCCAGCTTCTAATATTTCTCCACTGGCCCCTCAGCCTGTGAAGTAGATGCAACACCTGCTACATCTGTTCACGTACCACCGTACGATCATCGCAGTACACACACACAATGACATAGAAGAAATGCAAGGCTGAGCTTACCAAACATAAAATAAAATCATATATATAGAGCAAAAAATTTCTCACAACAATAACCCTATGCATTTCTAGCCCATCTAATGCACAGCATGAAAACGGTTTCCAACTGGTTTCATAGCCTAAGTAATCCAGAAGGAACCGAGTCGGTCTAAGAGCGATCCATTCCGATATCTGGATCCAAACAACACAGCACAACAGCTCAGCATGAACTTACCATTACACGTCTACCCACCTAAACATGTAACTCGGCTCTATAATGATGCAAAACATATATCTCAGCATGATGCACACCGCCAAAATTATTTTAACAGCTCAACTAAGGCAAGTTTATAATAGATCAGCCAAAATCTCAGCATTTTAAATCAATTAACAACAGTTATAGCTTAGAAAATAGCTTTTATTCAATAGATCTACCAAAATCATATCAAAATATCTTGAAATAGCATATTAAACCATACAAAACGTAGTTCATAGGTTAAAGTAAGCTCCCCTTACCTCAGAATGATGATTCACACCAGATCTACCAAATATTACTTGTTTTAACGCAAGATTCACCGAAGATTCGGCTTTAGAACGGAGTTTCTCCTAAGATATCATCAACTATCTATAAGAAAGAGAAGAAGAAGAGAAACGAACGATAAATCTAACTTCAAACTTATAGAAATTTACTTCAAATCCTTCAGAATAGATGTAGAATCTCAGATTTGGCGAGAAATCGAAGTTTAGGAGGGTTTATTATGGGAGGAAATGGCAGTATATGACCTTAGAACCTTTGAGAACCTTGGATATGAGTAAAGAAATGAAAATTTCGTGTGAAGCCCCCTTTTTATAGAAATTTTTTGAAATTTACTGTTCACTGCCGGAAATTACTGTTCACGCCGGAAACATGTTCAGGACACTATTCACGCCGAAAATACTGTGCACACGTACTGTACACGCACTGTACGCGTATGTGACGTTAGGATGATGTTATTGATGACGTTAGCGGTCACTGTACATATACGGTTTTTACTGTTCATACACGGTTTGTACTATTCATCTAACACTGTTCATACAGTACTATTCACTTTTTTTTTAAAATAATTTTAAACTCCATCTAAATCTATTCCAATACCAAATATTCTTTCAATTAGCATTGAACAAGTATAAAATATTATAGATTACTGAATAATAAATCACTAGCTTGACAATTCTCCCCCCGAATATAAATTTTCGTCCTCGAAAATTTCATCCCTCAGAGAAAAGATGAGGGTACAACTCTCTCATTCTTTCCTCTAACTCCCATGTGGCATCACCAGTTACTGGGTCCCAAACAACCTTTATTAATCGAATAGACTTGCCTCTAAGTTCCTTAACTCTAGTTTCCTCAATACGAGCAGCTGGAACCTCCACAGACAAATCATCTCTTAACTCCACAACATCAGGCTCGATTATATGAGACGAATCAGGAACATACTTTCTTAGCTGCGACACATGGAAAACATTATGTAGTCATGACAATTGAGGTGGTAATGCTAATTCATAGGCTACTGGTCCTCTGCGATGTAATATCTGATGCGGCCCTATGAACTTAGGTGTTAACTTCTTAGCTCTTAGGGCTCGCCCCACACCTGTAGTGCGTGATACTCTCAGGAATACGTGATCACCAACCTAAAATTCTAGGGATCTTCTGCGTCAGTCAGCATAAGATTTCTGTCGACTCTGGGTAGCTCTTAGCTTTTCTCTAATAAATTCAACTTTCTCCTTAGTTTCTTGCAGCATTTCAGGTCCAACCATCAAATGTACTCTGTAACACCTAAATCTCTACCAAAACCCCATCTATTTATCTTATGGTTTTAGCATCTATAAGATGATACACCTGAACTAACGAGTAAAAGAATTCATTGTCAAAACCGCATTATAGAGAGATTCTATCAGCTACATACAATTTATATCATAGGGCACAATTCTGACTTTACATCCTCCATGGCTAGTTCAAAATGCCTCCATAGACAATCACAATACAATTCCTCATTGTACAATTTAACGCTAACAATATTAGCTTTTGGTATTCACATTTTTGCCTCAAGAATTTATTCATTTAATCATAACAACTCCAATCAATTTTCAGAAATAAAAAAAAAACAACATACTTGATTCGAGTTCACCTATCACGAATCATATTTTCAATTAATTTCATTTCATACAACATACAATGCTTCTATGTGAACTACATTAATAGTTTCCAGAATGGTTTTATAACAACATCAGAGTAAGTACATAAAATCGTAAATCATTTGGAGTAAGATTATAGAAATGTAGCGAAGAGAACATGAGTAAAAGAAAACGTCTTGTAAATTATCCAGCCAAATGTCCAAAGTAAAGTCCACAGTAAAGTAAAACCCCAAAGTCTAGTATTTCCAAAAGCAATAAAATAACTCAAAGCCTACAAGCAGTATTCATCCATGACAAAATAAAGTAACAGCCTATAAATAAAACTCTAATGGAAGTGAATCCTAGCTGGGATCAGATTCTAATCCATCGAAGTCGGAATGGTCATCCACTGGCTGAGGGCAAGACGGGGGTGGCAGGTCGTCCGGGTCGCTATCAATCCAGACTGCTTTCTCCCCGAAATCCTCTCCTCAAATCATTGCTCGCTGAAGGTCCATCTGTCACACAGTCATGCAATACATACAAACATACAACAATAGAACACGAACAGAAAGGGTGAGCTCCATTACAATCAGTCATCAGATATTGAGTAAGGAAGAAAATCAGAGTAGTATCAAGCACTTACGAAGTCACATTTCAATAAACACACAGTCATAACAAAATGCCCAATAAATAGTTATAAAAATGCAGGCAAAGTCACAGAGATTCGTCGCAACATAATTTAAACACTAACGCTTAAAACGTCACTACTTCCTCAGTTTGTTCCCACCATTCCTCCAGTCAAGGTGATCGGAGGCCCTCGTTCCCTACAAGCACACATTGTATGAAATCCATCAGAAATATTCTCCCATTTGACCATTTTGGTCCCTTAGGAACGAGTCTTTCCACGATCCTCGGTAATGCTTACTCGCGTCAGGATTAGTGGAGGTTTCGATGGCGACGTGTCCTGGCCGCGATGAGCTATTCCGCACCATTGGGGCAACCCCCCTCCACTACCCCCAATGTCCTTCCCTCGAACCTAAACACTCACATCCCTCAGCTGTGCTAAACTATGACCTTGACTCTCCATCTTCCATATCATGCATATAAGAGTTTCGTAACCGCATTCTCATTTCACCATTTTTGAACGCACATTAAATTCCCAAAGGTCACAAACCATATAACCAAATCCATGCTCATAAGAGCTAGTACGTTCAAAGAAAAGAAGAACCATTCGTCCACAGTCCGAGAATAAAAGAAAAGGAGAGAAGATGGAGATAGTTATAAAAATTTCGTTGAAATATCTTAGTCTAAATGTACCTTCGTAAACAAAATAATCATCAAAGAATCATGGAAATAACCGCAAGTTTAATCATGCATGCAATTCATTTCTACCACAAATTTTTCGTAAACTAGTGATTAGGTGATGAGAAAATTCGTTTAGGTTAAGAGAAAAAAAAGGGTTCCTTGGTCAAACAGAATCAAACCGAGAGAAAAAGGTGAGTGATTTCTCAGTTAAAACAAAAACGAAGGAGGGTAGTCGATGAAAACCGAAAAGAACACAAGGATTCATATAGTTACTTTAACATGCAATCGGATATTCATCAAAGGTACCAACTTTATTCAATAATAAAGGTAAACAACCGAGACTTATGCAAGGATTTCAATATTATCAACATGCAAAACTATTTCAACCTCAATCAAGTTCACGCAAGTTACAAAACATGGAGTTTTTAAGACACCAACCAAATAGAATCACCACGAGATGAAGAAAAATGGTTTGCATGTAATTTTCATTGATGAAGATCGGAGACGAAAACAAGAAGAAGAGAGTGCATGTAGAGTTTACAAGTTAATGAACAACCACATGCATTCAGGCGCAAACAAGAACTCCCCTAACCTTGTTTGGTTTGAGAAAGAGAGATAGAGTAGAAGGCTTGGCCTTGGTACTAGTAGGATCGTGGTCACGACTTGAGTCCTTGGTGTTTTGTCGCCTCCTTAAGAGGTTGGTGATGAAGTGTGTTGTCCACGAGAGAAAAGGGCATAGAGGGTTTGGTGTGAGGGTGAGAAGGTGTCGAGAGAGAAAAGAAGTAGTGAGGTTGAGAGTGTTTTTGAAAAATAAGGGGAAAAGGGCGCGTGAGGATTATAAGGTGTCCTTATATAGTGTGGCTTAAAGCTTTTGCCTATTCGTCTTCCAGGGGTTGACGGTGAGGAGTTGTACAACAAGGGTTTTAGGGTTAGGTTAAGTGAAGTGACATATCCTTTCGCCTTTCTTGTTGAACAATCACGCCTCTTAGATGTCCAGATGCATGTGACACGCCTTGTCAAGAGCATTGAATGCACAGAGTGAAAAAGGAGTAAGTCTTTAATGTCCCACACGTCTCCACAAGCTAGCCATCATGGTGGAGTAACTGAGTGGTGGGTTGACCTGGGCAAGAGTGAGTAATCAATGCGTGTTGGCGGCTAGGGTTCGTTTGTAGAGGGAAATGGGTTCAAACCCTTCGTGTGCTGCGAATTTGAAAGGGTGATGTCCTTTTGAGTGGCTAGTGAAAAGGTGATGCCTCTTGGACTCCTCGAGACAAGGTGGCGCCTTTCTCTTTGCCTTGGGCGTGTGGCTAGTGCCATAAAACAAGAAATAACTGCATGCAATTAATGAGGCATAGTTTCCAGAATAAATGTTGCTGTTTAAGTTTCTCGTGAGGTTAAATGCGGTTAAGAGGTAATTTAGGTAACTTGAATGACGGTTTAAATGAGGCAGGTGAGGTCCCCTCGGTTTAAACACAATTAGGACGCGGTTATTAGGGAAAATAATGTGAATGGTTAGTTGGTTCATGCAATTAATGCAAGGTAATTAAGGAAGGTAAATATGATCAATGTCAGGCACGGATTTGGGGAAGTAATGGCTCCATTTGAAACATTCCAGGCTGATTGACACGTCTAAATAAATGCAGGTGGGTAATTAAATAAATCCAGTGGCAGTTAAATGGGGAAATGGAAGGTTATTCGAGTAAGTGGGAATGGAAAGGGCATCCTTAATGATTGTCTGCAAGAATCATGCTAATTTATGACAATCCGGTTAACACCAATTAAATACGCATGAGAATCTAAAAAGTTTGCAATTAAGGGATGAATATGCAATTAATGTCATGCACGGTTTTGGGTTTTAAATGCCTTAGGTGGCGACTTCTCAAGCTAACATCATCACTCCCTAAATGCAGCTGGCGGTTCCAATTATATAGGAAAGGGAATTTGAGCGTGTCCATTCATTTTCTCGAGAGGTTGAAGGTAAGTGGGAGGTAATTGAGGTAATTATGGTGCATATAACGGCTAGGTGAAAGGGCTTCTCGTGAGAGTGATTAAGTATGGGGAATTTCTCAATAAATGATCTTTGGAATAAATGTCAAATGGGATTAAATTGGTCAGTGTTGTTTGCAATCTAACACTAGCAAGTGCACTAGGATTGCAGCAAGTGATGAGTAAATTTAAGATCAGAATATCGTCTCCACAGGGAATTTAGGTTTCAAGTACCACTTCACAGAATTATAACCATTTGAGCCATACGAATTTTTGAAGGAGATTTGTAACATATAACAGCAATAAACCAAAGCAATTAAAGCAAAGAACTTGCAGAGAAATAGAGTATAAGATTTGTGATGAAATGAAATAGCAATGAAGGATAGTTAGGAATTTACTTCACAAGAATATCAATATCAATCCAATTAAATCCTCTGAACATTCAAGCAATTGAATAATTGACAATCAGTTTCACATATATCTAGCCAAAGGTTAATTCCTTAACTCATTGACCCTAACAATCCACTAAACCTCCCTAATCCCTTAGGTGAGATTCAATTTCAGGTTGCATTAAGAATTAGAACTATAAGATTGCAGAATTAGGTCTCCTTATCCCTAAGAAATCCCTAAACTCTGGTTGCCAATTCAGATCGAAGCAAACAATCCAATTCCCATTGGTAAAGATTCCTCTTGATTAATCAAATGAATTTCCATTCAGAGATTGCATGAAAAGCAGAATTAACAACTCAATTAATCCAAGAACTTAAAGTTCAGAAGATAAAGTCGAATCAATACATCAATTCGAGTTCCATAAACCCCTAACTATGGGAAATTAAGCACACATTGCAACAAAAACAGAGAAAGAAGAAGAAGAAGATGAAGAAGAATGCAGAGCAGCCATGGCCACGAGCTCCAATCCGATCCCTCTTCTTGGAGCTTCAAGCTTCGACCCCAATCTTCTCTCCACTCTCTCTCAACGAAACTCTAACTAACAAAACAGAAAATGAGCAAAAAGATCCCAGTTTCGCGCTTTAATCAGG